TTAGTCAGTGATCGCAGTACTTGTCTGAGCTGAGCTGAGTCCATTTCTATGGGTCACAGTCACATGTTCACAATCCAATAAGCAATGTGGTCAATATTATTATTATTAAATTTGTTGAAACCATGAGGCCAATAATGAATTTTAAAATTGTATTTATAAGGGCGCAAATGACTGTGATTCGGATGCCTAAACTTTAGAGACATCACACACAGTCCTGAGAAATTTTTATAATATTAGTTTTTTATCCATAAAAGTTCAAAATGATGGAATAATATTCTCATTTCAAGAACCGGACAAATTGCTAATGTGAGAATTTATAGTAGGAGAGATTATAATAAGATTAGAGTGATTTATTTTTAGATTTGAATTCAAGTCATATTTTTGTGTGAGTCAATTCTCCTTAACTATGTAATGCTAATTCAAACATGAGAGAGGATATTCTAACTACCAAAAATTCTTATTATTAATTTATTACCCGTAACATCACTATTGGATTAAAGAGAAAAAATGTTAAAAAAATTTTGAAGATAAAAAAAATGTTAATCTAATGATGATTAGATAGATAGTAAGTTAGTATAGTGAAAAATTTTAGTAGTTAAAATATTCCTCCTCTTCAAACATAAGGAAACATACTTCCAATAATCGAGAAAATTAACAAATTCCAAACAAACAAAAGGGGGGAATATATTAATCACAGGTTTATACTGTAGTGGAGGGACCCCCAATAGAACTCAAACAAAGGATGGCTACCCAAAATAAATTATTGAAAAGATGTCTCTTTTTTGAGATTTTTGGGAAGTGAGAATAATAATCTTATTTATTTATGTTTGGTATAAATTTTTGAATTTTTTTTCAAGAATTTAATATTTTTGGAATTTTATTTTGTGTATAATTTTATTTCAAAATGCTTTTCAAGAATATCATTAAAGTGATGGTATTCTTGGAATCTCCGATGTTGAATTTTTTTTACATTTTTTTGGAACAAAATTTCAGTAATATTTTAGTATATCAAATAACTTTTTGATAACATTTCTGGAAATGTGACTTTTCTACCATATTATTGAGAATCATGATTTTCGAATATAAAAAAATTTATCCTCTATTGAATATCCCCTTAGGGTGTGTTTAGTACGAGAGAAATTTTTTAGTATCCGGGAATCACGATTAAAGGGAATACAATAAAAATTGAGTTTACTTGAAATCTTACGGAAAAGGTGTTTGGCTCGCCAAAATATTACCGAAAATATTGGGTAAAGATTACTGATTCCATGTTTGGTTTAGAACGAAATATGACTTGGAATATGAGGTTATTTTACAAAAATAACCTCAAACTATTTTTACTTTTGTAATTGATAGATTGAGTCTAAGTTTTTATGTTTGTTGGGGTATGTTTTCTAAAAAATTATTGTTGTGATTTCTCTTTACGTGATTTTCTGAATTACCATGTTTTTTTTGGTAATATGAATAGTGATTTTTCTTTATAAATCAAATTACTGGCGGGAACTGGTTTTTGTTCCTTCTACCAAACATGATAATTACGTTTATCAAAGAAGGTTTACCAGTAGTCCCTTTAAAATACTTGTACCAAACAGACCCTTAAGTCACAAAGGGAGAATTGAATTCTCTCGTATTAAAAGTTTATGTGATGTGATTGTATAAATTTTTTGTATTTATATCTTACTTCATATAAATTAAATATGTGGAATCCAAGTATTATTAATAAAAAATAAATAGATATAAATTTTTTATATGATCAGATTATATAAAATTAAAAAAAAAATATATAATTCCACGGTTCCTATGACACCTGTTTATCCTGCAAGAGTTGTCTCACTTCCAAACTTCACATGGCTTTCTGAGTTCGCTGCGCTCGTCAATAAGGGTTGTTTCCAAATTAATTTTCACCTGATTTAAAATTTTCAGATCTAAAATATAATATTAAGGTTTCAAATTTGTTTCAATATTATTAAGTGTCTAATATTTAGGAGCCGTTTATTTTTTTTCTTCAAAAAAGCATATTTTTCAATGAAAAAGATTCTATTTACAAATTAAATTATTTATAAACTCTTATAACTAAATTTTAACTATTGATTTTCATTAATTTAATGGTTATAATTTATTAAAAATTAATAAATATGACTTAATAAATTATAATTTTATTAAATTGACGGAAACTAATATTTGGTTATAATAGTTTAGTTTGTAAATATAACACTTTTTTAATTTAATATGTTTAAATTTTTTATAATAATTAAGTAATTTATTTGAAAATGTTAGATCAGGCGAGTCTGCGTTTTTATCTCTTTATGTCTGATTTGACGGTAATGGATAAAAAACAATATAACGAAATCAAGCAAGAATGGTTATTATTGTTTCGGTATAAAAAAGGAAAAATATTTTTTCATATCAAGAATTATTTTTCTCCTATCAGTAATTTTTTAATTTTTGTGCAATATTTTTTTTAATAAATATGGGCCACACACATAGTATATAGCATAAGAAAATTAAACTAAAAAAAAGGATAAATTCCAAAAAAGCACCTTGTAATTAGAGTTTTTTAATCAAAATACCAGTTTATACTTTTAATCTAAACAATTGACCCCCTCGTATTATTAAATTGGAAAGAGTGTTGTATCATTTTAAAGGATGTAAAGTCGTATCATTTTAAGTGAAAGAAAGAGATAAATAAAGGAGGAGAGAGAGTTGTCTACCAAAAAAAAAGAGAAGGAGAGAGAGTTGATAAAAAAATATAAAGATGTGGGTCTTACTTCTTTCTGAGTGTAAAATGATATAATTATGTCATTTAAAAGAACAAATATTTTTTCTTATTAAACTACCGCAATTAAACATATTTAATAAATTTAATACAAAATACTCTTCTCTTTATTTTATTTTTAAGGTAAATACTAAATACCCTTCTCTTTATTAATCACTTCATCCCTTACTTTTATCGGTTATCGCTCTTCACCAATCAAAAGTAGCCTTCTTTTTATGTTTATCTCATTCTCTTTAATCTGTGTCTCTCTAACGCATGTTCTCCATTAACTCGCGGCATTCCTGCATTTTCTCGGGTGGCTTTGTATTTTTAAGTTACAATTTTTTTTCTCTCTCTCGCAACTGGGTTTTGTTTGATTACCAGCTTTTTCCATGCTTGTAAATTCTATTGGGTTTGTGGTGATGCCTTTGCTTCCCTCTCAACGTTTAGTTTTAATGGATTTGTTCTTTATTTAATTTTATCTATTTAAGATTTACTTCATGGCACCTGGAGATATCAATTTCTTGATGTGAATGAATGCCCTCTATAAATAAAATGTTTAACATTGCTACACTTGCTTATAATTTTCATAAATATACAAGGATGCTCATTTTATATTAAATTTCAATCTGGGTTTGCGTAGAAAGGAAGATAAATTGAAGAATTTAAGTTTATTATATAACAATGTTCTAAAGTGACATATGGCTGTGAAGCAACCCTAACTGAAGTGAAATCCAACAGCAATAAAAGTAACAAATGAAGTGATTGATAAAAAGAAGGGTAATTTTGTATTAAATTTATCAAATATGTTTAATTGTTGTCATTTAATAGTACAAGAGGATAAATTATTGGGATTTAGTTTTGTCAAGTAATAGAGTGCAATTGAATTTTCCTGCACAAACATATTTTTGCGGGTCCCACCATTTTTGTAAAAAATAATAATTAAAAAGAATAGGCTCGCACATCGATGACTCTGCAAGAATGGATTCTCCTATTATGTAACATAAGAGTTATATTACCCTATATTTGGATAAAAAGTATAGGGTGTTCTTTTGAAAAAGACCTCAATTACAATGTGGTTTTATGGAACTAATTAAAGTAGAGGAACTTTATTTGATTATAAACCCTCTCAATTATTGGATTTTTCTTTAATTTAAATTGGTAGACAAAAAATGTAATGGGATAGAATAATTTATAAGGCTAATGTTGGTTTTTAAAATTTGACGAGTTTGATAAAAAAATAATATAAACTTCTACCAATTCACCATAATAAATAGATTGAATATTACGTCTCAACTCAAAATTATAAGACATTAAATTTATAGTTAAATAATGATTTATATAATCATTATTTTAAATAATTTCTAATAAATGCAACACGTGGTTAGACTTTTGCATTCCAAACAAATACTGCAAGGAAGCGTGTTTGGTATATGAGAAATTTTTATTTGTCTAGGAATCTCGATTTTTAAAAATATAATTTTTGCATTCAGTTTATGATAATATTCAAAAATTAAAAATTTAAAAAAATTCAGTTTACCAGGAATCCCGAAAAATCTCGCGTACCAAACACCTTCTAAAAGTTGTCTTTCATTTTACAACCAATGAAATACTGAAATAAAAATTGGATGAGATGGGTTTTGTGTTTTTTTAACAAAAAATAGCTGGTATTCAGGTCATTGCCAAGTGAAGAGGTTGACCCACATTTTAAAGGCGTCCAATTAAACATGGTTACGTTGCAGTAAGGCATGGCTCCAATGAGAAGAGAAGCACATAATAGAATGATATGTATAGGGCCTACACTGACACGACCTACATGATACATGCACATGCCCAATCGGCTTCACAGTTCACACCTTACCCTTGTCAAATCCTTCTACTGTTTTCCCTTCCTTTCCCTTCTCACATCACACTCATCCAAATTCTCAATCCGACACACTCCCACCTTCCTTCCTCTTTCTTTCATATCACTGTTCCTTGTTTTCTCTCTCTCTCTCTCTCTCTCGATCTCTCGCACACACACTTTAACTCTCTCTATCTCCATCTTTTATCTGTCCTCTTTCCTTTGTTTCTTTTCCCCACTCCCCATGTATTCTTGGAAAAGAAAAAGTCTTTAAGCCAGGTTCTCCTCGTCCTCTTCCACACTTACTTGTTGCTCTCAATCTAAGCAACCCTTTCTCCCTTTGTTTCTTCCTCTGTCATTATCAGTGTAATTTCGTATCAACACGCAGACGCACTTAAACTGGTCGATCTTTATCCAACCAAAAATAAATTTCTATCCGTAGCAGTTGGATTCTCCCAGTAAATATTATTGCTGCTTGCTCTAATAACAAACCTAAATAGCTCGCTCGCACTATATTACATAACAGATCGATATGGTTGGTATTTCCACAATATATAGGGTCTAATTAATTAATAATCTCATGTTTTTAATTATATAAATACTTATAATTTCATCTCTGCTTTTTTCTTTATCAGAGAAGAAGCTTCGAACTTGCTTGCTTGGGTGTCTAATAGTGTAGAATTCACCAGCTCAGTGAGGATTTCAATCCAGTTCCCATGGAAGAGATTTACAGTGTGAAACCTCATTTGTCTTGTACAGAGGATGATGTTAGAGTCGGCAACGTGAGTGTTTCTACTACTTCTGAATTGCATCTGGGATCAGTGCCTAATGATTATCTACAGCTGGAAGAGGTAACCGAGTCTGATATCTCGGATCGGATGATCAAGATCCAGATCGCAAATCATCCTCTTTATCCAGATTTAGTATCTGCATACATAGAATGCCAAAAGGTCATACACCATTGATTATTGCTTAATTAATTAATGTTGTTCTCTTCTTTTTCTTAATTATTCCACATTCATACCTATATATACATATAGATATATATACTTGTAGAGTTAGTGTTTTTATGTCTAAATCGTCTGAAATCAAATGAATACTAAATGGTAGTAATTAAGCTATTGTATTGAAAGGTTGGAGCACCACCAGAACTGGCATCCCTTCTCGAAGAAATAGGCCGAGAAATTCACCCCATGAATGCTCGCCCTGAGATAGGGGATGGTCCTGAACTTGACGAGTTCATGGTATATTTTCGATTTATTTATTTATTTATTTATTTTAATTTTTTGGGGTTTTATGTTGACATATTTTGCTTTTTTTCCAAATAAGTTGGAGGAAAAAAGATGAAATCTTGGTGACACTAACATTGACCCAGTTTTTATGGTCAATTTTCTGGAAATTAATTAGGTGGATACTTGCTTTTCTTTTTGGCAAATATAGATACATGCGTATATGTCTCACCAAGGAATTGTTGTATTGTTTCTGAATGAAGATTTGAACTGTTCTTTCTGTAACTTGAAGGAATCATACTGCGAAGTTCTTCATAGATACAAAGAGGAGCTGTCCAAACCCTTCAATGAAGCGACTTTGTTTTTGGGCAGTATGGAATCACAACTCAGCAACCTTTGTAAGGGAACACTAACAAAGTCATCGGATAATAACCGCTCGGGTAAACGCTTGATTTCATGCTTATTCATTCGTGTTGCATGCCTAGTAGTAGTATCTTAGTGGCTAGTGAGTTTTAATTAAGTGGAACTAAAATACTCAGAAACTCTAGAGCTAGCGCAGATCTTTTCTCAATTAACACTTAACTACATGCGCATTTATATATTATATATATTTTATGACTTCTTTTAGAGAAATTTAACAGAAGAGCAGGACTCAATTACCTCGTAGAAATAGCGTTCAAATACTTAGAAAATTCTGTATATGACCCGTTATCTTTCATTATTCTGAATGTGGATGGCCCTTTTGTGTACGTTAAAGGTGCAGCGGATTTAAAAATATTTAATATGAACTTCTACCACAACCTGACATGTTAAATTTGAATCTATTAACATGTATAGTGTTCCGAAGACAAATGATTGACCATACTGTTGTTTTTGTTAGCTATTTTCTCCTCTCTTTTTTTATTATTACCGGTGCTAATTTCGTCATCAGTCATCACATACGTACGTTGAACACCATAAATTTTTTTGTTCAATTTAATGAGCTAAGTGAATAGATGAAATGTGAACGTTCATATTCTGAAAATTCGGATTACGGCCGTTTGATGTTACATTAAGTCTACTGTTTATATATCAGAATGTGCACGTTCATATTCTGACAAATTTGACTTTTTATTCAATTTTTTTTTTTTTTTTATGGACATTTTGGATTTAACATGGTCTGGAGATAATCGAGTGACTCAAACATACAAATACACATGATTTCATATATCATCTTGATGCAATTACGGCACGGGTCCTAATTTGTTCCGGCCAAAGTTACTCGTACTTAATTTGTTTACTTGTTACTTGAAATGATGATGCAGTTGTATGAAATTAAACTGACTCTATATGGATAACATATATAGTTTAATTTATTTGTGATGTTCGGCAAGAATTCATTTTTTACATGAACAAGGAAATTCTATTTGCTAATTATGTGCCCTCTTGTTAACAATATTTACCACCGATCTCGAGTGTGTCATAAATTAATGCAAGAATGTGAATTATAGATTTCAAGATGATGATTGTTCAATTGTATGTGCAACTTTTACCTATTCGTTTAAGGGTTCACTTTTTCTGCAGCTACTGCATATAAATTATCTGCAGTAAACCTAATACGATGTCGTTTTGGGTGAAAATCATAGAGTTTTTGTAATTTTAATTTATTTCAGGGTTATTATAGTTTTTATAATTATAATTATTTAATTTTTTAATCTCAAAACGACGTCGTTTTGGAAGTAAATGCAGATAACTTATCTGCAATAAGGGCCGACCCAGTTCAAATACCCACTTCGTGAGTGTCTGGGGAAGGGAATACTCTAGGCAGTCTTTCCCCTGCTTTTTGCAGAAAGGCTGATTTGAACCCGCGACCTGACACATCACGGCAAGCAAGCTTACCGCTGAGCCAAGCCGGCCCTTCAGATAACTTATCTGCAATAACTTGAAGAAATATTATTTCGTTCATTTAATCATACTTTCACGTTTGCAAGCTATAGTTTACTCGTTAAAATTGCATTATTTTCATTTTCTGATATAGAATTTCCGTTGTTGTTTATAATTTCCATAGAATAGAATTGAAGTTTACTGTTTTCTGATTGAAGAGTGGTGAAATGGAGACGTTTTGGCTCTAAGTTGCATGATGACAATATTTTGGAATACATGTGCTTTCTTAACAATATAAGTTGATGTTTTCCATTAATTGGATATTCTATCTACCTAGTGCAGTAGTAGATATTCAATTCCTCGCATACGAAAAAAAAAATATATTCAATTCCTCAAGTGGCAATCAGCATTTTGCTTTCCCATATTTGAACTTTCTTCTTTTGGTAACTGAGAGTCAAGTTATATCCTAGTGATAAAGGAGAGTCAGTCCTAAGAAGAAAACATTGGAGTGGGGGACCGCTTTAATTCAATGTATGAACAAGTGACAAAAAAAAAAAAAATGTTAACCCTGACTTTTGCATTTAATAATAGTAGGGTTATATTTTCCACACAAAAAAATAAAAAATAAAAAATAAAATCCTCTAAAGTGCATAAGTAAAGTAAGGTGAATTCACTTGTACTTGTAATCAAATAAGCCCCTTGATAATCAAATAATCTTGTCAAACAGTGAAGTACTTGTACACACACAAACATACATCCTTATTGATTTTTCATTCTCTATTCATTTAAGAAAAATTGACGTTCCTTCGTTCATTATTTCTTAATACTGAAAATCTAACTTTTTGTTTGTGTCCTTTTGGCATATTGAGAGCCCGTGTGTTTTGGATTATTGTCAGATGAGGAATTAAGAAGTGAGGAGATAGAAGGAGTTGAAGGTCATGAATCTTCTGGGACTCGCCCAGGTGATCAAAAGGTTAAAGAAATGCTCCTTCATAAGTACAGTGGCCATTTTAGCAGTTTGAGAAAGGAATTTCTAAAAAGAAGGAAAAAGGGTAAGTTACCAAAGGATGCAAGGATGGCACTAATGGACTGGTGGAACACCCATCATAGATGGCCATATCCTACGGTAATTGCATTTAATATCATAAAGCGTACTAATGTAGCATGTTTATGTCAAAACTACAAAAACTATGCTGATCGGTTAAATAAAAGAACCGTGCCAATTTTATTTATATGCATGTAAATGCTTTGAAACTATAATCAATGATACAGGAGGAGGAGAAAGTGAAGTTATCAGACGATACTGGACTGGATCAAAAACAGATAAATAATTGGTTTATCAATCAGAGAAAACGGCATTGGAAACCAACAGAGGATATGCGATTTGCCATTATGGAAGGGGTAAGCGGTGTCGGCATAGGAGAACCTATGTTTTTCTAGTTCTGGTGGTGGACCTCAACGTGATGATTTCTGAAAGTTTTCTGCTATTTGTACCCGCTGCTAGAGTAATAATGTATGCATTCCTATTACATGAGATACTGAATTTTGAAGCCTGCACTCTTGAATGATGAGTATACGTTTGGCTTATATCCTTGTCAAAGTTGTAACTATAGTAATAGTAGTGTACGTACTACGTCTTTGTCTTTGATCAGTATTCCTTAATATATGATTGTTTTATGACAATATCATGCCGAAGAGAGGTAAAGAAAAGGAAAGAACGTTCCTCTCGGAAGCTGCTTTTTCATTATCGTATATTTGACAAACTACTGAAGCTTGGAGATTGAATAGATTTGTGTACCTAATTATAATAGGTGGAGTGCATGAAGGAGTGGTTAGAAGATGATGGCAGTAGAATGTTCTTGCGGTGGAAAAAAGGCATGTGTGTACAACAAGACAATCCTACGTTCAAGTCAATAATTCCGTCATAAGCATGGTGGGTAATAATGTAGAATAATAATGTAGAATATTCATGTGATGTTCATTGCTTCTCCTTGAATTAGGAGTGGCAATTTATGACACGACCCGCCAACCCAACCTGGACCCGACACAAAATTTTTGTGTTCGGGTCAACCCGTTTAATAAATGGGTCGTGTTCGGGTTGAAAAAATATAACACGAAAATATTCGTGTCGGGTCACGGGTCAACCCGTGAACCCGCTCTGACCCGTAAATATATATTTTTTAATTTTTTAAGGTTATTATTGTAATTTTATTGAATGATATAAAATAAAAATATACACTCTAGGTTTCAAACTACCCTTTCACTCTCCGCAGCGGCGCTCTCTCCCTCTGTTTCGACTCCCTTTGTATCTGGATTTTCTTTCTTTCCCACTGTCTTCACTCTTCTCAGGCTTGGATCTTCCTTTTCCACCTTCGTACCTGAATTTTATTTCTTTCCCACCTCGTTGACTCGTTCCCACCTTCGTATATTGCAATCTTCCTTTCCCATCTACTAAAGTTTCACTTGCATTTTTTAATTCTTTGCAAGCTTTCAATAGTGGAGGTCATGCCAAATCATATGCTGCCATGAAGAACGCTGAGAAAGTCTTTGGAAGCTTTTTATTTTTTTCTTTTTCTTTTAGCATTTAGAATCTTGTAATTTTGATACTTTTGCATACTTACGAAGAAAAAATTATTCTTTTCGGTGTTTCAACTTTCAAATTGCACTGGAACCTCTAGATTATTTTTTTGTTTGAAGAATTTTTTTTTGTTATATTACAATCAGATTTGCTGCATTTTTTTTGGCCAAGTTGTGTAATAAATGGATCATACTTATATTATAAGATTTTTCGGGTCGTGTCGTGTCAACCCGCAGAAAAAATGGGTCGTGTTCGGGTTGAGAATTTTGACACAAATAATTAATCGGGTCGTGTTCGGGTTGAGTCTATTCGTGTTCGTGTCAGACACAAGTCGACCCCAACCCGACCCACGAACACGATTTGCCACCCCTACCTTGAATGAGGGTGAAAACTCCTCTTTTATATGATGGGAGGGTGAAAACTCTTGGTGGCTGTCAAGATTCCCCAGAGGGGATTAGGATTTTTCCTTTAAATATTGAATCTAAGCTGAATAATATATCTAGAACAGATATCCCTGCTTAATTTTTGGGAGTAACTTGAATATGTGAAAAACAAATAATTCATGAGTAACGTATACGAAAAATATTAAATTGAGGCGTGCCATCGGATTGTTCTCTCTATATATAAGAAACGGATCAACTAGCAACCAAATAAGTAATTAATAATGGATGTAGAGTTTTAATTCTTACACTATGAAAATATATCAACTGACTAAGAAAATGGAAAACAAATTAAACTACCTTAGTTGAGGTTTGTTTTCTTTTCATTTTTAGCTGATATATTTTTGTTTATAATTTTAAAAATGTCACATTATTTTTATTTTGTTTCTTATTTTTAAAATATCATAAAAATGAAATAAGTTTTAACTTTCTCACCATTTCTTTTGTAAATAGGATACAACTTGAAATAAGGTGGCATTTTATGATGTGTTTAAGGGTGTGTTTGGCAACCATTTTGTTCTCTGACATTGTTTCTGAAAAGAAACAATTCTTTTTCATTTCGGTGCCTTGAAACAGTTCACGAGAAAAAAAAATTGTTTGATAACATGTTCTATTTTTATTCCAAGAATGAGAGTTGCGTTTGATAACACAACAAATAATATAATAAAAAATAATTCCTATTAAACATAATTTTTTTTGGATCATTACTTTCCTTTTTATATGGTGATGGTGGCGGCAGTGGTGGTAATGGTGTTGGTGGTGGTGGTGACAACAGTGGCTGCGGCGACGGTAGTAATGGTGTTAATGGTGGTTGCATAGTCGTGGTGGCCGCAGCGATGGTGGTGGTGGTGACGACAATGGCTGCGACAATGATGATGGTGGCGGTTGTGATGGTGATGGTGGTGGCGACAATGGTGGTGGTGACAGCAGTGACTGCGGCAACAATAGTGGTAATGGTGGCATAATGGTGGTGGTGGCGGCGGCGGTAGCAGTAGTAACGACAATGGCTGCGATGATGGTGTAGTAGTTGGTGGTGGTGGCACGATAGTGATGGTGATGGCAGTGGCTGCGGCGATGATGGTGATGGTAGAGGTGGTGGCGGTGGCGATGGCATGGTGATGGTGGTGACGGCAGTGGATGCGACATTGATGGTGGTGGTTGATGGCGATGGTGGTGGTTGGTGGTGGTGGTGGTAGCAGTGATGAAGGCATGGTGGTGTTAGTGATGACATAGTGGTGGTGGTGACAACAGTGACTATGGCGGTGGTAGTGGTGGTTGGTGACGGTGGTGGCGTCGTGGTGGTGGTGGTAGTGGTGACATGATGGTAGATATGGATGGAGGCGGTGGTGATGATGGCAGTGGTATCATGGTGGTGGTGACGACGACACTAGTGGTATGACAATGGCGACGTCGATAGTGGCGGTGGTCGTGTCGGAATGATAGTGGTGGTGGTGATGATGGTAGAGGTGGAGAGTGATCGAGAGAGATGTTTCTCATTTTGTGTCTGAGAACAAAAAACAGAAATTTTTTGATATTTTTTTTCTGTTTCCCAGCACAAAAATTTGACCGGTTCATTCCGGGAACAAAAAAATAATTCGATTTTACCGAATGAGTTTTTTCATCTATTTCTCTTCCCGGGAACAGATTAAAAAAAATTGATTCCCGAAAGGTTATCATGCACACCCTAAATGGTGGAAGCAAGATTTTATTATTTTCAGCCATTTGTTTTGAAAATTTTCAGAAACAAGATACAAAATGAGAAAAAGGTATGATTTTTTTTTTTTTTGGGTAGACAAAGATAGCATTTTAAAGCGCGCTCGGTTTAGTTTCTGTTTTAATTTTCAGTTGATATATATTTACTAATATTCAGTTATTCACCAAAATGACACGTTATTTTCATCATCTTCTTTAACTAAATCATAAAAATAAATAAATAAATAAAAATAAAGTAAGATGATATTTTGTAATTATTAACAGAAATATTTCAAATGAAAATAAAAATGACTTACAAACCATGTATAGAAATAAAAAAAATGAATTACAAACCAACACGAAGTATTATTCTTCGCATCTGTTGTCACCACCTGAGCATTAGTTTTTGGCATTGCGAGTGCGACTAAACCGTAACTTCGGCTCCAAGATAGGTTCTATCACCGGATCTGTGGGTTGCTTGCAAGTCGCCACTTCTCTGTAGACTTTGTTGGGCTCAAATTTTTATTGAACTTTTACAGAATTTTTTTGAGATTTTTCTTAGGCTTTTAAAGTTTTCAAAAAATCTAAGGCCCAAGCCCAAAACTTCGAGAATTTTAGTAGGCTTTTCACGTTTACATTTAATTGATTTTTTGACATTCCATTTTTTACCCCCACCATACTAGTGAGACAATCAATCAAGAGAACTTGCAACCGTTTCTTGGCTGATATATTAATTAGCAACGAACATTAATAATAAGGAGGCCTTCTGCCAAAAGTTTTGTTTGAAAATTATTCATCTTGCTTTTGTTATCACTTAACAGTATTTCAATTCTATTAAGTATTATAAATAGCATATAAATCTCTATTGAATTGATAGAAGGGATATTATTAGGGTTGTGCATGAGTCAGGTCGGGTCAGGTTTTGTGCCGACTCGACCCAGCTTAGTTTTTATAGGTCAGGTATTTTGACCCAACCCGCTTTAATATGATCCAAGTCAGGTTTGACTTGGTTTGGATTTTTTTTGAACTAGTTCAGAACCAGGTCGGATCTAACCTGACTTGGTTTCTGAAGTGGATCAAATCTGACCAGACTCATTTTTGCCTTGGTTTCGTCATAAAATTTTGTCAAAATTTCTACGTTGCAAACGACGAAAAATTTCGTCACAAAATTTTTTTTTCGTCGAAATACTTTTTGTCGAAAAGTGACGAAATTTTTTCTCTAATGAAATTTTTAAAAAAAATAAAATTTCTATTGAAATTTAGTTTCCGTCAAAAGTTTTGACGAAAATGATTTCCTCCATCAAATGTTTTAAATGAAAAAAGAATTCCTTCAAAAATTTTGATGGAATGTTTTTGTTCAGAATTTCGATAGGAATTTGTTCTCACGAAAATTTCGACGAAAATTGTTTTGAGGGAAATGTTTCATTCGAAACTTTCGACGAAATTTAGATTCTCTAAAGAATTTTGACAGAATATTTTTTCCGTCAAAATTTTTTATCCAAATATTTTTTGTTAAAAATTTTTATGAAATTTTTTGACAGAAATGTATTCCGTTGAAAATTTTAATGGAAATGTTTTTATGAAAAAACTTGACGAAAATATTTGGTCGAAAATTTTCGATGGAAATGTGTTTCGCTAAAAATTTTGACAAATTTTTCTTTTTGTCAAAAAGTTTAATGAAAATGTTTCCGTCGAAAACTTTCGCCGAAATTTGAATTCCGTAAAGAATTTTGATGATATCTTTTTCGTCAAAAAATTTCGATGAAAATATGTTTCGTCGAAATTTTTGATGAATATGTTTTTTTGTGAAATATTTTGACAAAATTTAGATTCCATAAAAAATTTTGACAAAAAAAATTTTCCGTCAAATTTTTTTACAAAAATATTTTTAGTCACAAATTTTGATGAAAATATTTTTCGTAAGAAAAATTGATGTAATTATTTTCGTTAAAACTTTTCTTTTAATGTAATTGTGATTTTTTTTGTCTTTTTTTTTCATATAATGGGTATGGGTCAAGTTTTGGGTCAATGAGTTATTATTAAAACAAGTCAGGTCTAAAACTGACACGAATAAAAGTGGGTCAGTATTTAAAATCAGTTCAAAAAAATAGGTATTTATGGATCAGATCAAGGACAGGACAACTGAACCAACTTTTTTGCACACTCACAGAATATTTTTTCCGTCAAAATTTTTTATCCAAATATTTTTTGTTAAAAATTTTTATGAAATTTTTTGACAGAAATGTATTCCGTTGAAAATTTTAATGGAAATGTTTTTATGAAAAAACTTGACGAAAATATTTGGTCGAAAATTTTCGATGGAAATGTGTTTCGCTAAAAATTTTGACAAATTTTTCTTTTTGTCAAAAAGTTTAATGAAAATGTTTCCGTCGAAAACTTTCGCCGAAATTTGAATTCCGTAAAGAATTTTGATGATATCTTTTTCGTCAAAAAATTTCGATGAAAATATGTTTCGTCGAAATTTTTGATGAATATGTTTTTTTGTGAAATATTTTGACAAAATTTAGATTCCATAAAAAATTTTGACAAAAAAAATTTTCCGTCAAATTTTTTTACAAAAATATTTTTAGTCACAAATTTTGATGAAAATATTTTTCGTAAGAAAAATTGATGTAATTATTTTCGTTAAAACTTTTCTTTTAATGTAATTGTGATTTTTTTTGTCTTTTTTTTTTCATATAATGGGTATGGGTCAAGTTTTGGGTCAATGAGTTATTATTAAAACAAGTCAGGTCTAAAACTGACACGAATAAAAGTGGGTCAGTATTTAAAATCAGTTCAAAAAAATAGGTATTTATGGATCAGATCAAGGACAGGACAACTGAACCAACTTTTTTGCACACTCCTAGATATTATTTTACCAAACCTATATAGAATGAAGCTTCTCATGCTAATTGAACAAATGAACTCATATTGTCCAAAGCTTTCCTAACAGGATTGAATTTTTCCAGAGGAATTGGACAATATACACTGTAAATTGAAATTGAAATAGATCGCAAACTTAAAAAATGGACTACAAACATTTAATTTAATGTTCTCGATGTGTTTTAAAGGGCTTCTTCTTTTTTATAATTAATTTACTAAGGAATGTTTTTTTTTTTTTTTGAATATGTAACGATAGCCTGGTAATTAATGTTACAATACAACTTTTGCTTGAATTTTTGAATTTTCTTTTTTTAACTGAAGTCATCTCTAAAGTGAATAAATAGGATATATTTACCTTGAATTTAATCTAAATATATTGTGATCTTATGGACTAAAATTTAAGAATAGTTATATTACTATTTATTTAATTTAGAGACAAACTCACCTTAAAGGATTTTTTTTCAAACTCTCATAGATGGTAAGTTCAAAATATCGTCTTTTCATACATTATTCTTATATTTTATTTTTTAATACTCATTTTACTCTCCCTTTCTGTGAAAAAAAGAAGGGAGAGAAACTTTGTTTCTCTTTCTTTTTTCTATTTCTTTCATTAACACTAATATTTTTTGGGAAAAGTGTTTGTCATTTTAAATGACATAAAGTTATGTTATTTTAAGAGAGAGACAGACACATATTTTTTTTATTTAAATTTTAAATTAAAAAAAAACCACCCACTTTCTCTCTCCCATGATTTTCATTTTTCTGTGTCTATCTCTCTCCTAAAATGATATAACTTATGTCATTTAAAATGACAAACATCAAACCCATATTTTTTAACACTTTAATGTCTATATTTCCCTTTAACACTAATATTTTATTAAGAAAAAGAAAATAAAAGGAAAAAGATGAGTGGCTCTCTCTCCTTTTATCATATAAGGAAAATATATTAGTATAAAAACCAAATGTAACAGTAATAATTTTGTAAAAGGGATGTGCATGTAAAAAGTAAATAAAAGTGCAAGAACAGTATTTAATTTTAATTTTTTAATATTTTACAGATATTCTCCTTCAAAAGATCAACGGGTAATATTATCTATGTTGGAATTATAATCCTCCAACCCTACTATAAAATCTTAGGCAGTTTCACTTTAGAGGGATATAAGTTGGATGCACCTTTTAAACTATGAGAAATTTTCAGTATGAACATCTAATTTTAGGTATGCAAATATAATCTTTGACATGTATGAAGTTATGCAACCAGGGATATGTATATTCGCATAACTTGAACATCTTCACAAGTGTATGTGACTGATTTGCACGTTCTTACAGTTTATGAAACTATAAGTAATGAAACATTCATAATAGGTTAAACATGAAACAGAAATTAAATTTTCACATAATTTTTCTGGGTGTCTGGGAGGCATAATATGTATTCTATAAACACTGACATAACTGGCTAAAAAAGGCCAAAGGAGAAAATATCATCAATATCCACCTCTGAAGTGTGCACAAATGAACAACTAAACGACTGTAGGACTGGGGTTATATTCTAATTCTACTAATAGACCAAACAGATAATAGGAGCCACTTACAAAGAATATATCTTTGATAATTGTCTTCTGATAAAATTAAAAGGCATCCATTATTAGAACCCAACAAAAATCCGGTCTTCCCATCTTATTAATTTGGATATTTTTTAGATTCTTCATCTTAATTATGACAGATATGCCTTGCTAATTAATGGCCAGGCACAGTGAGGAGAAGATATGCTTCCTCTCTTCAGTTTTTTTCTCAGCTCAAAATGGTATCTCAAGATGTCATCCACATAAATTTTACAACAAAGACAAACATTAATTGATCAAATTCCGTCATAAAGGAAGCAAAGTAGTCTTTGATTTGATAGGCAATGTCGGCAAATATCAAAGACAGGAATGGATGGCTCTATTTTTGAGTGATTGAAATTTGATGAATGAAGTTAAAGGGAACAAGTCAAATCGTAGCCAAGGCAGTTCTGTGATCTTCAGATTGGCCAAATTAGTTGAGAATTTTGGATAAGCTGTACTTGTTACTATTCCATGACCATTCTTTTTTGTCAATACCGTTGTATATAGTTGCATAATAAGAACAATAAAGATGAGAAAAAAAAAGAGTACAGGAAACTGTAAACATGCTATGCTAGCATGGATGCCGTTATGGCTTGCAAGTTTGAGGGAGAGACTCGATCTAAAACACATAATCTCTTTTATATTTATTGACAATTTTAAAACATCATTATGAAAGACACATGTGTTTTTCATAATAAGAACAATAAAGATGAGAAAAAAAAAAAAAAAAGTACAGGAAAACGTAAACATGCTATGCTAACATGCATGCCGTTATGGCTTGCTAGCTTGAGGGAGAGACTCGATCTAAAACACATAATCTCTTATATTTATTGAAAATTTAAAAACATCATTATGAAAATCACATATGTTTTGCTCGATAAGACACAAAACAGTCAAATACATAAATGGAAATATTAATTAACTAAGTTGCTACCACATGACCGAATCTCCATCTAAAACAAGAGCAGACAGAGAGTAGATCGATAAAGGAAATCAGAGAGTTTAGGAGAGTTGCTCCTCAAGGGTCAATTCCTCAATCATATTCCCGTGGTTGAAGACTTGGATCTCAGAACACTTGTTTGGTAGGATCATTGAACCGAGGCCTTGGTGATCAAGTGAGTGTTTAGGCATAGGACATTTACGTGCTATGACAACTGAATTGATAACCTCATCTGTGGGGTGGAACACAGAGAGAACCTCAAAGCCTTGAAGATCGCAAGGTTCAACAACTGGGTAGAGAAAAGCACGAGCCCCATGAGCACTCCTTAGCATCAAAAGTGCTCCCGGGGCCATGTACTTAGCCAAGTGATCAATGATTCGATTCTTTCCCTCCTTGTCCATACCCACAAGTGCTGCCAAGTAAACAACTTCATAGTCTTTCAAAGGGTTTGACACATCCAATATGTCATTGGTGTGGAAAAGCATACGCTTTGACAAGTCAGGGTCAGAGGAAACCAAGCTCAGAGCATTGGAATTGGCTAAAGGGTCGATGTCATAGTTGTGAAAAGTGGTGGAAGGTAAGTGATTTGATGCCAAGACAATTGAAGTAAGGGGAAGGGGTCCTGAACCCACAAAGGCAATTTTGTTAGGGACATTGGTGCAGTGTTGGTTAAGGATAGTGAACTCAAGGAGAGCAAGTTTGAGGTAGTTGGAATAGTAGGGGAAAATATGGAGATGATCAAGTGGTTTGTGGTATGAGCCTAAGATGGTTGAGTAATGGGTCTCCAAATGGCCTTCAGCTTCACCAGAGAGCCTTATAAGATGGGATCTAATCTCTTGCACAGTATTGGGGAGTTTGGTGACATCAATAGGACTAGGTGGTATGCATGTGAGGACAAGTTGGGTGAAAAGCATGTCGACATTTTTGCAGGGTTTGAGACTCTCAAGGCTTGAGATTTGTTCATAGAGTTTGCATACTTTTTCAATCAACAACTCTTCCTGGCAAACCATGTCGACACTGTGAGGTAATTGTATGGGCAAACTTGGCTCAAGAAAACACACGCCTCGCCAGGCCTTAAGGTGCGGGTCAATATTTATGCTCAACTGTGGGCTCCACATCATCACCACCTTTGCTATTGCCTTTTCTATTATATTGTATTTTTCGGCTATTGTTATGCTTCTGCTCTAAGAATTTTTTTTTTTTTGGAAACATTATTTTACATTACTCTAATTATCATATTATCATTGAGATTTTATAGGTCTTATAAAAACTGTAAAATATTTTAATTAGTGTCGTGTGACAAATGCTTACATTAAAAAAGTGAGAATATTTACATTAAAGATATCAACATGGACGTCTTGTATTTTCAGGTTTTTTTTTTTACCAACTATTAATTTGTTACATTTCTCTATCTCAAATTGTGTACATTTCGATATACGAAAATAATAAAGTTGCTCTATTTTAGAGACAGAGATGTCCAACTTAATGGGATGATATGTTGATTTTGCATCTAGTGTCCTCTATAAGGTATCTATGGAAGAGATACTCTTGAGTCAAGCAGATTACTGTGCATAATCGACTACTAACGGCATTAGCCAAAGAGGTATGTGTGCGCACAGTGACAGCATAATAGTAAGAGAGAGAGCGTAACATACATTTAGGGTTTACCTTGTATTTATAGAGATTACATGTGAGTAGTATGATATGGGCCTTTGGTGCCTCTGATAAGAGCCCAAGCCTGTTCGGTATGCTGTTGTATTAAGATTAGTATCGAATTAGTATCCTTAATGAATGTTATCCGTAATTATAATTGATTCATATTTTGGACTACCCATTATTAGGCCTGTCATTCAATGAGTCCCTTGTACAGGTCCATAACAAATGTATTGCTGCAAATACAAAGATTTTGGAAAAATAAATGATTCCTATAAATTAGGAGAATACTTAAAAGAAATTATTTAAATCGAATATCTTCCTCATACAATGAGACAAAGCAAAACATGAACAATTTCATCTCCTTACTCCATGTCCTCTCTCTTGCTGAGTGGTAAAGGCAATCAAAGAAAAGACCGTGGCTTACGATAACTTAGGGTTTTGTGGACCCGCCTGAGGAATTCAAAATTGGTATTATTTAAGCTCATGGACACAAAGCCGAAGTACTCATTTAATAAATTATACCTCAAGTTCTGCATTAAGTACAAATATATATCAACAAAGCATCAGAAAACCATTTTTTTACTTTTTATTTATGAGGAAAATGAATTATCATATTACTAAAAACTTAGTGACACTTTCAATTGAATAAGAAAATCAGATGTATCGACTTAACTTTTGTGATATATATGGCTTACCATTTTTGCTTGAGATAATTTTATCTCCGATTACTAAATCTTAACCGTACAAAGATGGATCAATGATGATAAAGAAAGAGAGAAAAAAAAATCATAACCATTCAAGGTGAATCAATTAATATAAGAAAATAAATAATCAAAACAACGTAATTTTGGGGTTGTCGAAGATAAACTTATCTCAAGTTGCTGGAGAAATATCTTTCCACATATATATATATATATATAAGAAATGTTTTTCTTATGTTACATAAAAAAGTTTATATCATGTCACACATTCATCAAAATTCGAGCCAATATTTCTTTTTTTCTTCTTCTATTTTTAGTTGTGGAATCCACCTAATTATGTCTTTATACGAGACAATGTTATCTCATGTAACATGAGAAAAACATAGCATTATATATATATATATATATGTATATATTGGGGAATGATCTGTTTACAAATTACACTAAGTATGATTGGTCATATACTTTTGATTTGAAGTATAACCGGTCATACTTAGTGTTGTTTGTAAACAAAAAATTTGTAAATATAACTTTTTATATATATATATATATATATATATATATATCCAAATTAAAAGTTAAGCGGCTATGGTTCGAAATTTGACTCGATCTTTGATTCCAAAATGCTTTTGGTTTCACACTGTCACATACATCTTCATTCTTGCTCGCTGCAAGGAGCCGAGCCCCTTAATGGAATTTCATAATTGTTTTCATTTTATATCGTAAACATCAAAATGTCAATGTCCGATAGTTGTCTTAAGAATAATAAATAGCTCGGAAGATAAAGCAATGAATATTGATGAATGTTACCACTTACTTTTCACAAAAGCAAGGATAATGAGATCATTGAGATGTACCTATATTTATTTCTTTCTTTTTAGTAGTTATATTTAAAATTCTAATTATTCATACATGATCAACAAAGACCTAATTCGTTAAACACTTAAACTTAATTCTTAGCATTTTTTATAGAAATAAATTTTTATCAAATAGAATGACTTTGAGACTATATGAATTTGTTTTGACGTGTTCCTTTAAGCTACTATCAGCATCATTTCAGTTCACATTAGATTGGCAACTTAAAATATATGAAACACCATTTGTCCTTATCCTCTACTTTACCCAACAACAGCAAAAATTTAATGCATGCTGATGTAGATTTTACTTCCTATTTATTATTGATCAATTTTTTCATTGATACATGACGCGGAGCTTTTTGAAATCTAACAATATAATTGATCAATAATGGTCTCTTAAATTTTGTTCTTAATTTTTATTTAATATAATATAATATAACTTTTTGAAATCTCCGTCGAGTTTTACCCACCTCAACTAAGCAAGGATGATCAAGAGGTAGGATTTTAAATTTTAATAGCATTGGTAAAAACCAGGGGGAAACAGTTTAACATATACAATTGAACATATCATAGTAATTTTTTTTAAAGGAAATGTTACTCTTCAGCGGCAGGAAAAAGAAGTTACATGCTGCAGTCACATCTAGGATACGGAACCGTGTCCTGAGAAGTATGTGTCAGCTAGAGATAACTTCTCTTCAGCAACATGAGATTAATAGAACAGTTTTTTTTTTTTTAATTACAGTTAAGGGTGGTTGAAGTTAGTTTTTATCAACTAATTCATATTTGCTGTTCCCTTAAATGTTTGTTAGTAAGAATAAGAACAAGTCAAATGATACGTAAGGAGCTTACGATTTGGTTTGCTTCAGGTATAATTTGATCCGTAATTTTCTTTAACTAAAAAGGTAAAATTTTAAGCTTGATATGGACAAGCATAAATTTATTTATAAGCTAATATTTCTTAAAACTAACTAAACCTAATTATAGATTACAACGTACAAGTCCAATATTGAGCCTCACTTGATGATCCCCAATCTCCTGGTGCAAGACGCAAAGATTTAAGGTCATTGACTTTTTTATAAGTATATTTGTTGGTTTATTTAAAGCCTTTAATATAAGGGATAAGTTATATTTACAAATTTTTTTGTTTACAAATTCTTACGAATTACACTATGTATTATGAGTAGTGCATACTACTTGAATAATACGTACTACCCGTAGTACATAGTGTAATTCCTAAGAATTTGTAAACAAAAAATTTGTATATATAATCATGCTCTTAATATAAAGTAAATCTTTAAGTTAAGTTTAGACATTTTGTTTGAAAAAAGGGTAAAGCATGTTTAAGGCAAATTTTGTTATATCCTTACGTGCTATGATGCACAGACACTGACACAGGATACAACACGCTGACACGTTAATTCTAAAAAATGACATAGTTTGACACGTTGGGACACGTTTTGATATTAAATAATATTTTTAATATATAAATTATTATATATTTAATAAATATAACTATCCATAATAAGTCATTTAATTAATCAAATATTTAAATTTCATAACATAGATATAAATAAAAATAATTTTTCGTACTTTGTTAATTTTTCATGTCAAATTTTATAATAGAAAAAATAAATTTTTTTTTATATTTAGTTAATAAAATAAAATTAAGATTAAAAAAAACGTGCCCCGAGCGTTGACCGCGTGTCGGAAAAAAGTTGACTGTGTGTCCAAAAAACTTGTCAATATATGTCAAAGAATTGACCGCGTGTCCCCAAATGTTGATCGCGTGTCGGAGCGTGTCCGTTACGCAATTTTTTTTGAAAAACCGTGTCCGTGCTTGCTCGCTGACGTGTTTCTACCACAACTCACAAGCAAACTTTTTGTTGCTTTATTTTAAGAGATTGATCAAATTATAATTCAAACTTAAGACCGTGCATCTGACATATACCACATTAATTTTGGCTAGGGGTGGAACGATGTTCATGCAGATGTTGGAAAAATTGGATTAGCAGAAGTAATTTAGGACATAGTATATTTGTCTGTTTATGAGTTATTATTGTCTCGCAACCACAAAGGATATACCTTTTAAATTGTAGATCCATGAGAAACTTTTTTTGTATTCATACGATGGTCCTTATCGCCTCTGCTGTTACGGTATGTCCTCCTTCACGATCCGACCTCTTCCACGTCACAACACGAACAAGTCTCCTTCACGGTTTGACCTCTTCCTTGTCACAACACGAATAGGGAAAAAAGAAGAGTGTATGGGAACTAATTTTTCAGATCTAATCTTACCTAAGCCGCAACAACTCTAGAGACTAATGATTAAAGTGAGAATATATATATATATATATGGGGTTTATATTTTTGCAGTTGTTATATGTGCAGCAATCAAATACTTGTCATATATATATATTTGAAAGTATTAAATATGATGAATCATAACCATACAAAGGATGAAAACATTAAATGTGGGAAATCATAACCATATACTTGTCGTTGTTGTACGTAAAGCGGTTGCAGAAATAATATATATATATATATATATATATATACCAAGAAACCTAAGCTCTAATCTTCTTGGCCTCTAAGCTTTTTGGACTCTTCTCATACATTGAGTGCAATTGAACTTTTGTAAAAGAGCATAAACCAACAATAGATAGGGTAGCCACACCCTAAATAAGAATTTTTTTTACAACTGTGGTTAAATCTAAATGATTATGAAATTATCAAATTCTATAACATCTGCATCCCAAGATACTCCTGGTTTCGACCTCCAGCTAAACAATCGACCATTAAAATTATAGCAAAGCAGTAATAAAACATGATCATTGTTCAT